ATGCACGAGATCAATGAAGCTCTTCTGCACTTAAAGGTTCTCGCGAGTTCGTTGTCAGTTGAACGTTGGTGAGCGTTTCCTAACATTTACCTTCGGATGCCGCGTCGCTTGCAGGACGAAAATCGTTATTCAGAGACAATGAGGGAGATTTTCTACGTTTCCGAGAGCAAGGACCGACGTCAAATCAAATATTTTAAACCGGGAAATAGAGCTTAAGGGTACGTACACAGTGGAAGCAGGTTTGCCCGCGCGGGCAACCTGCTCCAAATGGCCACAAGAATGAACATAGGATAATAATGTAAGTGTTCACAGTGAAAACCTGTACGAATAGACTTCTGCCGACAACCTGCTTATACCTATTTACCGGAATGTACTGCACATTCTTATCTGCTCAACCTGCTTGGCATATGGTCATTTTTGAATTAGTTGTACCTTTAAACCAGTGGTTCCCAAACTTTTTCAGGCTGGCGCCCCCTTTGGCTCCCTAGTGAATTTCTAGCGCCCCCCACAGACAAACGCATCTTTCGTGAAATTTAGTATGCTGCAATTTTAAAAGAGAAAGGTTAAACTCAAATTTGTATTTCACAAATAGAACCCCATTTAGTGAACCAATATGTTTTTCAGCTGTTTTAACTGTTTAAGCACTAGAAACCTAGGATGTCGCAGGCGAATTTACGGCCGGACTCGTGGCCGGTCTCACGACCAATCTCAAAATTCAATTATCAAGTAATATCTCCCAAACTAATGAACGCAGCTCTATGAAACTTGGAACGTGTATTCATCAGATGTTTAGCTCGTAATTTTTTTAAAATTTCACCTTCATTCATGAGCTACGCGTATATTGCGAAACAGGCCGAAATTCGCAGTGATCAAAGAATTTCTTCCAAAATATTGAACAGATTTAAACGGTGATTAACTACCAAACGGTGATTTTTTTTACTCTACAAAAATTTTTTGATTTTACCTTCGTTTGAGAGTTTTTTTTCATTTCACCGTCGTTCTTGATTTCACACTTCCTTATATTCGGCCCGTATCGCCGGGTAATTTGTCACTTAAATTCGCGGGGATCAAGAAATTTCTTCTAAACTACAGAACAGATTTCAGGGAAACTTTGTATATAAATAGCTAACCTCCCAGCGGTGATGTTTAGCTTGTGACAATTTTCTATTTTGCTTTCGTTCGCGAGTTATACAGATGGAACGACCGGCTTTTCTCCTGGCCGGTTTAACCAAGAGCCGTATATGTATAGCCGTATAACTCGCAAACGAAGGCAAAACGAAAAAATTGTAAACATCACCGTTGCTGAGGTTAGGTATTGAAGTACTAAGTTTCGTTCAAATCTGTTCAGCAGTTTGGAAAAAAATTCTTGATTACCGCGAATTTAAACACGTACTGATGTTGAAATCACGAATGAACGAAGGCACAATCGAAATAATTTTCACGAGCTAAACATTACCGTTTGGTAATAGGACTACAAATTCGAAATTTCGTTCGAATCTGTTCAGTAGTTTGGAAGAAATTCCTTGATCACTCTGAACTTTGGCCCGTATTGCCATATAACTGTGGCAAATAAAAAAACGATGGCAAAATTAAAACAATTTTCACGAGCTAAACATGAATGGTCCTAATGAATTCGTGTACTAAGTTTCATCGAGTTAAGTTCATTAGTTTTAGAGATATTCCTTGATCATTGAATTATTTTTTAACAGCTTTTCAGCGGTTCAGAGAGTTTGACGGGTTATATGATGAATTTATCATGCGATTTATTCATTTATAATGAGTTTTGACTGTATGATTCGTATTATTGAGAGATTTTATCAATCGTTATAGGGAATGCACAAGCATGTTTCCTGCTTCCACTGTGAACAACCTCTCGCGCTTGTTTCAGGCGCCAGCCTCAGCAGGTAACCAGCACGCTGGCAACCGGCTTTCACTGTGTACGTACCCTAAAGGTCTATCTGAAACAATGTGGCTTCTGAAGAGGCTACTTCATTTACAAGGGACCTAATTAACTTTCGTAAAGCGAACTTGCAATCACGCAACATTGCCCTAAACTTCGCGCGCTGTTCCATGATTTTAATTACACTGTCATCGTTTTTATTTTGTCACATTCTTCGAGGTGAAGAATTAGTTGAGTTTAAATGTGGTCCAGCTGTATAAATTAAAATAAATAAATAATGTGGAAAGAGATCTGTCTGATCAATCACCATTAAAATACTGGACAGCAATGCACGGAAAGTTCGAAGCTTTTTCATGTACCTAACGGCTGAGTAAATACACCAACTAAATTGTTTATTATTTGATTGGAGAGAAAATTTACTCTCAACTGCAGTTTCATGTTCATCAAACGATTTTCCTTTAAATTTTTATTAGTAATTTTTAGTTACTCTTTATGATAAGTCGAAAACTGTACTCCCGAATATCAAACTTTACAACTGGACCTCATAATGCATGAGCTCTCCGGAGGAACCCTTAGCCAGTTTGCACCTTTTCCTGTGGTGATCCTGTCACTAGCTGGCTCCTGAGGACACTCCACCGGTCCCTTCGTATGTTTTTATCTCCAGCCTATTGGAATTTTGCAATCTATTCCGTGCTTGTAAATGAGTTAATTATTTTTCTACGACTTTGTGACTGAGGGGGTTTGAAGGCAGTTTTCCTCAATCTGTTTTCTAGTGCATTTGTATAATTTTTGAACCTGGGTTGTCTTGATATATAAATCCTATATTATGAATAACTTGCTGACTCGCGCAATCAAGGCATAAGTTTTCTTCTGGAACTCAAATGCGAGTCGCAACTAATTCAAAGAATCTTATGTTCGATTTGAAAACTTGTAGCGTCTTGGACAAATTTTATTTTAATAGAACTGTATTTTCTTCCAGACTACCAAGCGGCTACGTCTTCGGGAAACTCGATGCAAGTTTTAGTGAAGAAGTTAAATCAGTCTGGTCTTACGCGTCCATGGAGTCAGCAAAGAACGTTTCAGTATATTTCGAAAAATTTCCGTCTGTCGCGATTTTCTCCAAGGAAAACTCTGGAAAAAGCTTAATATTTTGGAAAATGGATCGGATTCATGAGCAAACGGAAAATCGGCTGAGTTAGCAAGTTACTGCTGATTCAAAACAGAGCTCGGATGTTCGCATGACTTACACGGATGTATAACACCGCCGAAAATGCTAGGCTCAAGCTGCTACATTACAGTTGCGTCAGGGCATAGCATAGGATAGTGATGTTGGAGCTAAGAGTAGGCCTGATGTGACCTGTCGCTGATTCTTGTACTTTTCGTGACTTGTTCACAGAAGATCTTAAATAGTGTCTTTTGACCGGATATTTTCATGACTGACGAAAGTTTGAAATAGCTACTGGACTTCGATATAGTGCTGCGCATTTCAAGTCTGAACATATATTTTTCGAAAGCTTTATCTAGTCAGTTTGTGAGAAATTTTTCCCACCTTTTTGTCCCACCTTAATTTTTGTAGTAGTTTGTAAATTTGTTGTCTATATGTCGTTTTCTGTTCATGTTGCGTTCGCAGTTTTGTTGTATTTAGTTTTTTCGTAGTTCAAGTAGGCATTAAGTATCGGCTAGCCGGGCTAGGATGGGGACTCCTTTCTTAGCATCCTTACCGTTCAGACGTCCGATCTCATAACGTGCCTTATCTCAAACGCAGCAAGTTCTCAATTATTCAATTCTGGGCAATATTCCCTTCAGACAGCACTGCAACAGGAGCTACTGCTATTCTAAATGTCTTCCTGGTTACTGTTTCACTATTTTTTTGTTGGTGTGAATGTTGCTTTTTTTCATATTAATTATTTACGCTCTATGTACAACTTTTTTCTATGGTGCTCTAGACAAATCAATATTCAATTCAATTATTAATATCTCAAGTTTCTAATTTGCTACGTTGTCTCTGATATTGGCAGAGGATCTAGCTTCCTTTGCCGTGACCCAAGATTTAATAACTTTATCTTCAAATTTCCAAAGTCAAAATCTCAAACTGTCCTTTTCTATTTTTCCGTCTAGAGTACCTTCCTTTAACTGATTTCGTCTGTATTTCTAATTTGCCTCTTACTGAATGCATTAAGCACTGAGATGCACCAAAATCTTAGGTTTGTTAATTTAGTTATTTGTTAGTTATTGATACATAATTTGGAATTGTTTGCTAACATAGCTAGTTTCTGATCTATTAATTGTTTAGTAAGTAGTTTAATTTTCATTTCAGTATCTGGGACCCCTCGGGGCAACACCATTAAGGAACTTTACTGCTGCAAACGAAATTACTTCATTGAACCGCCGTTCTTCTACTACAGCATTTAAACTTTTGAATTCAGCTTCCTCTAAAAAAACTGGCCCGATCAACGCCAGTCGCACGTTCAGATAAATTTGAATAAATATCCGCTGACTTTATTCNGTTTTTTTAGTTTATAGCCGTGGCCCCTGGTGTTGGTTCTTGTTTCAAATTCTAGTAATCCTTCAGGGACCTTGTATAAACCATGAGTATACTTGTATACTTTGATGAGGTCCCCACGCAGACGAGTGAACTACACTCGTCTCGTCGAGGTCCCTTTGTGAGTGAACTACACTCACAAGAGATATTTGTAAACGTTATGGTTGAATGAGTTAATGAAATATCCATAAAGCTGCACAGGAGCATGGGCTTCAAACACTACACTGATTCCCTGTATATTTTCTATATACCGAAATATTTCAACATTTATAGATTTTTCTTATTTGAAAACATTGTCAGATACATTCCCGAAGATCAATAATTAAGTGAAAAGATTGCCTCTAAGCTTTCCGTTATGAGTTGTAACTTTTGTTTCTAAGCGATCCATCCATTCACATTGCTCTTAGCCAATATTTAATCGCTGCAATATATCTGATCGTATCGCATCCGACGGCAAAACACGCTGACTCAAATCGTCATGAGTAAGCCAATTGCCAAGACGCCAACGTTGTCCAGATTTGATGACTTGTTGTTTTCACATGGAATAAAACTATTTGATGGTGTTAAGCTTTATTAACTTGCACTTGGGATCAAGCCCGAGATCATATGAAAAATACGATGGCTCCAACATTGAGTTTGATTAATTTTAATCGTTTTCAGATCAGTTGTGCAATTTTATAAACTAATATGAAGTAGACAACTAAGCGATATTTCACACCTACGGTACATATCATTTTGAAATTATCTCTGTTACCTTTCGTATTTATGAGAGTTTTTCTACTTTTTTTTTAGGTATTTTATCATTATTTAGGTTACAGACATGATTTCACAATCTAATAATTAATTCTTAATTTGTGAGTGAAGGGACATTTTAAGTGGAAGTGAATACCGTAGCACATTTCTGGGAATATGATTAGTGCAACTAAAATGAAAATATAATTATACGCATTTCAAATTCATTTGATTACAATATGAAGCAATATATTACAAATGACAAAATTAATCTATGTTCCCGCTATGAAGACAGAACGATATTTTTAATTCTTAGCTTATCCGATTTTGAACCCTTGACTCGCTTCTAATTTCAACACTAGAATATTTGCCAACGAAGCTATGTGGGATGCAAAATACATCTTTGTCTTTGATTAATTTTTCAACGGTCTTTGTGAGAATTTAGTTTCAATCCAAAGACACGATGTTAAACTTATTTTTCGAATTTTTCATCAGGTGGCAATTTCAGCATAATCGGGTATACTCCTGGAGATACCGTTTTTAAAATTATGCTGTATTTTATTGATAGAAGATTTCTTGCCGAACATCTAGAATTTTATCGTAAATAGAAATAATGTTGAAATGTTTATAGCCACATCCGATACTATACTATATTTGAAATTCTTGATCGAACTGCATCAAGTATAGGCTGAACTATTATAATTATGAGCATGACACACACTGTCCCTGTCTCTTTCCATTCCCTAGTCCAAATACCAGAGCATCTTATTCTAAACTGTTCAAAAGTTGAAAGCTGAATATTGACGAGCCTCTAAATATTCGGAATTCATCTTGTTCCCCAAGACCTGAACTCTTAATTTAGCGTTCTCGAACATTATTCGACTGAATATTGGGCGCAGTCAAATGTAATGAAAGGTTTTTCTATGTATTACTGTTCATTGCAGCAGATTCTGCTTGGTGCTGAGGTCAAAATACCAAGATTATGTGCTCACTTAGCATCAATCGGTGCATAATTTATCGGCCAACGCAATTATGAACCTTTCAAGATCCCTGTTTGTGATGCATTAACATTGCCAAGAAAGCACATGTAAAGGGAATAGAAACTAAATAAATAATAAACTTCCACTAGATGGAAGTCTCAAAGGAATTAAAGAGAAATTGAATTCTCCGGAACGATTAGGCTACCTCGCGCCGTTCTCGGCGTGAAAGATTCCTCCCACTGTTTTAAAATGTCCCTGTAGCCTTCATGGGTGAAAAAATTTGGGATGCTAGTGAAGTCAAAACCTTCAGGGATGTAGAATGGAATAGCTGCCTCCGTATAGCGTTTGAACCCAATCTTGGAGTGCATATCAATAGACAGCTCATTATCGTCATCAGTAACGACATAAGATCGAATGCCGTCCTGTCGAAGCCTTTCGGCCAACTGAAGAGTTACGGCTCTTGCTAATCCCTTCCTGCGGTGACTTTCCTTGGTGAATGTAATGCCACAATCCGAATTGTGCTTGTAAATAGAGTAGCTTGCAAGTTCTCCTCTTCCATGACCTTTTATAGCAGAAAGTTCGTACAATTTGTCGTTATCGGCAGCGGATGAGTTTGGTTCTCCTCTGTACTCTGTAGTATATCGCCACTGAAGGAAACGTGACTAATAGCTTGGAAAAGACCTCGACATTTTCACTTGATGCTCCCACCCACCGCGAGAGAATCTCTTCGCTGTAGCTGGCTGCCAGTTCTCCGAAAAAATATCCTTCCGGTAATCTGTGGACACATTGGAAGACCATAGCGGAGCGAAAACTTTTCCAAACATGTTCGAAAAGTCATCAAAATAATACTCTATTCCTCGACAATAACATTCAAAACTAATAAGGGCTTATCCAATTATCTAAGTAATTTTCTCAATTGCAACGGAAGATGAAATATTTCGAGATTATGACGCGTATTGGGGCTTGGTATTGGTAAATTATCGAGTAAATTCTCATTTTTCTGTCCTAACCTAGCATTTAGTTATCAGCCATTGAGATTTCATCTAGCATGATTTTTCACGTTTCGATTATGTTCTCTGTTTCTAATTAAGTTTTTGTTAGTTGAGAAAGAAGTGCTCACTGGGGCACAGGAGGTGCATCCTCAGGGGCCAGGGTCATCGTTATGATGGGTATTGGAGTCAGAAGATGAGACCTTCCTTTTGTAAGTCTTCGCATGATGGCATCCATCTATCGAAAATAACACATAACGCTTACATTAAAAGACATTCGAGCATCGAGAATATACAAGTATTTTCCAAAAATTTTGTTCTCCTTTAGTCCTCTAACCATTAATCCCTTAATAGTATCATGCGGTATCAAACTTGGTTTAAACATGAGCTATTTATCTGCATTTGGCATTGAAGAAATGTCTTCCTTATTTCAGACACAGAGTTTTTGACCAACCTTAGGTTGCAAGTGCAATGGTATTTGCTGTATTGTGTAAGGATGGTCCCAGCTGTCCACTGGGAGCGTCCGGAGCAGGTTGTACACATCGTCGTCTGACAATTTGTTCTCGTCCCAGAAAATCGACAGGGACTTCAGTTCCTTCTGGTTAACAATATATTGAAGCAACAAAGTTTAATAACTGATTTTGACATACTATGCAAGCTTGCAGAGCTGTTTAGATTGGTTCTGTCTTTTAAGAAAGAAATCCAGATAAATAATGAAAAAATATATATTTAGTTAGTCATGATTTCCTGAGGTTGCCGAGCAATGTTGATAATAGATAATAACTTTTGAAACTTACTAATTTGCAAGCTAGGTCCTCTATTCCGTACTCAGCGAGGTTTGCAGTAGACAGAAAATTCTACTAGTGAAATTATGACATCATTATTATTGTTATAATATTGTTTTTACTTTACGTTAGTCTGTCATTAGAGTCGTGTCGCTTATAACAATCGTACCGCTGTTCCAGTGGGTGTGATGACAGCCATATGGTGGCGGTGCACAGCATCGACCGGCGCGTAAAGCTTGACGTCGTAAATGGTGAAAAAATTGTACTTGAGGTGACCGCGCAGCATTGCTTCGATCTGAAGGATGATATACATACTGATGAGAACGTAATGCCCACCATGTCAGATAAACTGCTAGTGGTTACACTGTCTCTTGACTCTCCTTGCATGTATCAGATTATTTCAGTAGATTTCTTTTAAATTAGTTTTGTTGGGAACCAAAATCGTAAACTTCCTGCCCAGATAGTGCTCCTCTAGTTACTATTGTTTTCATGATGATCGTGCATTATAGTTTTGAACTTATATGCAAGATAAGTGTAAAATTGTATTAGTCATATGAAATCTGTACATCTAGATATCACAAGTCGTCAGTATCCATGATAACGTGATCTCCGGGGTTTCAAAAATAGAGTTCAAGCAATGTGACTCACTTGGTAGGAGTGAGGGAGAAACTCGACTAAACCTGCGGCGAAGGCATCAAATTGATCAGAGGGCACCTCGGCCAACGACATCGTTGCTGCTTCACGCGGCGCTTCCGGGTTTGTAATCATGGCTGTACAATTTAATATTATGTAATTCCAAATTAACTTGAATAACACAATTTACCGTAATAATTTATAGATAATTAAAATCATCTAATATGAAATCGCAATAATTTTCTGACAAAATAATAAATAGGCACAGAAATTCACTTTCAAAATTCATGATAGTACTGCTGCGCATCTCCTGAACAGAATACAAAACTCAGATTTACATTTAGTGAATTATTAAATAGTGTTTCACTAGAATTTGAGGAAACGTTGTTACAATATCTCAGCACTTGAATGACTGAACTGAGTCTCCGTTTTGCACTGCATAACTACTTAAACGTTCCCGGAAATCTGACCCAAGTGTCAGATTTCGTTCACGATTCATTGTTCATTTGTTCTGAATTAAACGAGTGGCGGCTTACTTGCCATTAACTTCGCATTTGCGATGGAATTGGCGCAGCAATCTCCAGTACTTCATAAAATATGGCAGTGAGCTTTCTTGTTACTGAGACTTTAAGCGCAATTCGAGCAAAATAGATGGAAAGTGGCCTCGAACACAGACATCTTTCTCCCCACCCAGAGACGCCGGCTACTGCCGACGCACTCGACGCCTCATCGAGTCTGACCTCATCCAGCCGGGTGACTAGTTTTTTACATTTCCGGCGCTGTTGCCACGTTGCTGCAATTATAATTTTGATTTTGGTTTTCTCACTTCGTACGTGGTCCACTTGCAATGCCTCCAATTTTCATCAGATATTTGTTCATCACAATGGTAATTTTAACCGTATTTGATGGAAATCGGTTGTAAGTCCGCTGAAAAACTTTTGACTTGTAAAATCAAACAATCAAGTTACCTTCAACGCCGTGCCCCCGCATGGCGCTACCTCTCCCTAACATAACATCAGCAAATATAGAAATTATAGCTACAATAGCATTGTCGCAAACATCAGCACAGATAGAAATTATAGCTACAATAGCATTGTCGCCAACATCCGTGATGTTGCCTATAGGGGGGCCTAGTGATGGGCAGGGTGGCCTAGTGGTTAAAGTTCAGAGTACCAGGATTAGAGCAGAGAGGCGCGGGTTCGATCCCAGCTCTGTGCGCCAGTTTCTGGTCAGAATCGGCAAGGAGGCCGGGCGGCAAAGCAAAATTGAAGCAGTGAGTTGCGAGTTCAAGCCCGCAACAAGCTGTGGATATTCTGCAATGTTAGGAATCGGTGACAGGCCTACGGTCTAATAAACGCTGAAACCGCGATTATTATTATTATTATTATTTATCAGCACAGATAGAAATTTACAGCTACAATTGCATTGTAAGGGTGCTTATTCCGCCGTTATGTGAATTGCCTGAGGCATTTATGTTGAAGTGGCGTCTTGTGCATGAAATTTTTTAACAGGGAACAGGGCTCTCACGTGCACCGCGGGAAGTTGCGTTCCAAAGCATCCCGCGATATTCGAACATCCGTGAAGTACTAACACTTATTTTCCCACCGATTTGGTCAGTATATTAGTATTTCAGGTGCCTGTGGAGCATTCAAGCGCATATACAGAGATATTACATGGTCTATATTAACTTTAGGTCAGCGACCTGATCAGAACCTACCTAAATTGTTTACAAGATGCGATATTTTTTATTATTATTTTATTATCATATTATTATTTTTTACAAGATAGGGGATATTTTCCATTTATGATAATTTTGGTTATTGTATAACGTTCCTTTACAATAATGAATTTCATTCAATAACTGTTATCTACTTTTTCAATGAGGTGACATCGAATTGTGATTGTACTAGGAAAAGATATTATTGCTAAAATTCATTGGATAGTCGAAATGCTATCTCACGCACGCAAAGTTCGATCAACTCGATGAAGTTGTCTACGTGTTCATAGATCATGGATGCCCTGATTTCTAACTGCATTAGGGTGCCTTTAATGGCATTTCTTACTGAATTAGGTCGCCGAAGTTGACACGCAAATAGGATGATGATTTACTTACTACTATCAAAAATTTTTACTAGTTGAGATGAACCTAATTTAAAACGTTGAGGAACAAAATCATCCAAGATCATATAATAGACACATGGATTATAATCAATTAGATTGGAAAGCGAGTCAAAATCTGACGAATGCGTCATGCAGTTAAATTAAATTAAGTCCACAAAACAAACTATATGTTTGTTTTAAACTCTAAATAAAATGTTCAGTCAATACACGTTTGTACTATAATAACTCGATTAATGGTCACTTGACCAACGATATTCCAAGCACTGGCGATTTTCTTTATATATTATCGACTATAGTCTGTGGTTGACACAAGCGCAACTCTATTTCGCCGCAGCTGCAGGACAGCTTGACTGATAGCAGTATACTTATCACGATTGATAAGATATCAGTGCGATATTCGTCTCAAACGTATCGTGATAATCAGATAATCGTCTAGTCTATATAGACTATGATGCCAAGAGATGCTTTTACTTACGATTATGGGTTTTCGTCGGCAGTTATTCGGACAGAATTAGAAATGACATCGGTACTTTTTGATAAATTCAAGTTACCATACAATGTACGATGTTACATGAAGAAATATACTAGCTACCATGCAGAATCAGCCTCATCCTCTTGCGGGGAATTTTTCCCACCATTGATATTATTTGTAGTTCTTCGTAAAATTTGTTAGCTTGATGTTGTTGTTTTGTTTGTGTCGTATTCAGAGTTTTGTTGTATTCAGTTTTTTTCGTAGTTTAAGTAGGTAGCAAGTATCGGCTAGGATCAGCATTCCTTTATCAGCACCCATATTGTAAAGTCATCCGATATCGTACCGTTATTTAACTCAAAACTGCATAAATTCTCGGTTATTCATTCCAATTCTTAAGTATACAGCGACTTCAGCCAGAGAAGCATCGGGAGATACAGAAGTTCTAAACGTCTTCCTGGCTGCTTTTTCCCTATCTTTTTTTTGGTGTGAATGTTGTTTTTTTCGTATTACTTATTTACGCCCTGTATTCAAATTTTTCTACGCTGCTCTAGGCAATTCAACGATCAATTATTATTATATCAAATTTCGATCCAAGTGAACGAGGTATCTGCTATAGGCCGAGGAACTTGTTTCTTTAGTTGTGACCTACGTTTCAATATCTTTATCTCGAATTTCCAACGTCAAGCATCCAACTGGCCATTTATATTTTCCGCCTGGAGTACCGTCCTTCAACTGATATCCTCTATTTTTCTTATTATGCCTCCTAAATGCATTAAACACTGAGATGCACCAAAATCTAAGGTCTGTATTTATTTATTTGTCATTATTTGATTCATTAGTTAGAGCAGGATGTCAGATACTTATTATTCGATTGATTCATTTTTATTAAGTAGAAATATTTTCCTTCCAGTATCGGGGACTCGTCGGGGCAACATGGAATTTTTAAATACCGCAACCTCTTCATAGATACAAATTGTCAACTCCTAATACATCATGGATCCATATACTACAGTATATAAGAATTTGAATTCGGCTTCCTTCTACATCCGGCCCTATCAATAACAGTTGAACATTCGTATAAATTTCAATAAATATCAGCTGAATCTATTATCTATTTATTTGTCCGATTGTGTGAGCCAAACATAATTAATCACACTCTTCGTCCAGTTGTATTACCAAACTAACTCAAACATGGACATCGCCTTTCTTGATTCGTTGAAGTTTCGCTTCTCCATCTACTGCACTTATCCATCTACAAATTGCTTGGAAGCTTCAAGCGTCTTGTATGCCTTGAATTCTTGCAAGGTGCATTGGCTGACACCAAATAGTTTAGTAAATCACCGTGTGAAACGGGAGGCAGGCTTGCAAAATCTCTACACACCACTACTTTACCGGCACCTCGTTGGGATCAACATCGTTGATGTCGAACTATCTTCTTAAATACCGGTCTCTCGCTGAAGGAAGAAGTTGTGACCATAGCTTAATCCTTTTTGCTTTGCTCTTTCTTTCTCCATTGCCACCAAAACGTCCAAATGTGTAGGAACGAAAGAGTAAGCTAGGGTACGAGTTTGCTACAAAGATGGGGGCGTAGTAACGCGGCGTTGGTACGTAGATACGCGGGAGCTTGGCGAGCCCGATAGAATAGTATTAGCTCTATCTTGACTTCCACATAATAAAAGTTTTCTATGATAGCTATGACGCTGAAAATATTATTGGGTAAACTAAACAATATATTCGATTTGGTGCATTCGCACGTGAATGACAAAGGTTTGATCAATGGTTGAACCAATATTAGTTAAACAAGGGTTTGATCTACTTCGGCGAAGCTACGGCCTGCGCTAGATAATGCAATATTTATATGTAATGACATACGCTACATATCATAAGGATTCTCAAGCGTGTGTACGAAGCGCTCAAAATACAAATTCATCTTAATTTTATCTTTAATTCTGTTGCACAATGCACATCAATGCTTTAAATGTCGTGTGCGTTATTAATCCGGTACTCGTGCAATTAGACGTGTGATTTTCTTCCGATCTACTAAAGTCTCTAAAAAACTAAAGTTATGTGAGTGGCAGCGCGCAGGCTTGACCGCGTGCAAACATTGTTTACTCTCCACGACTGTCAGACGACAATGTTTTAATTATTACTATGTTAGCTATTGTCCTATTGAGCAATATTATTGAACTTTAATAGAGTGTTTGATGCGGCGTGATGCAAGCGCTGGTGATACAGGCGATTGCGATACAGGCGCTGGCGATACAGGCGATGTAAAGAATTGTACAGGACGTAGCAAGTTCACGTCATAGCCTCCATGTAACGAGCACAGGACTACTTCCTGCCTCTCACTTTTAACTAAATGTTACTTATGCAATTTTTCAGTAGCTAAAGTTCAGAGTATTTGGATTGGAACCGACAGAATCGAGTAGCGCGGGTTCGATCCCAGCTCTGTACCGTGTACGACAGTTTCTGGTCAGAATCGACGAGGAGGCCGGGCGGTTAATTAAGCAATTTAAAATTGGAGCAACTAGTTGCGTGTTCGACACCGCAACAAGCTGTGAATGTTCTGAGATGTTAAGAATCGGCGATAGGCCTACGGCCTAATAAACGCTGCAACCGTTTTATTATTAAATGATGTAGTCATTAGGGAAGGAATAGTTTTTTGTGAACAAATTAACCGTTCTATTAGAGATTGTGGTGGGTTAACTCTACGATATTTTCATTCGCCGATTAATTATCACCGCGCCGGAGTTTGAAGTCTAGAACAAAAACTTGTTATAAATGTATACACTTCCTAACCTTTATCGTAGTCTTCTCATAAGAACGTTTAAAGAAGCCAAACAACAAACTTTTGTTCAACTCGACACTTATCTTTTCCTGAATTTCCTGTTGATGTATCATATCTTATTCTAAATCATACAATAAAATTATTTGATGACGAGCCCTCCGTAGACCCGCCGAACTGAAGGACTTCAATAGCCGGTAAGATGGACCTGTTCGCGCGCAGGCGGCGAGAGCCTCCGACGTGTGACGTCATGATGTCCTTGTGGAGCTGATCCTGCAGTCCTGACGGCTGACGTTGACTGAGCTGAGGACTCCAGTGCGCTGACTTTCAGCTCTTCGGTATTCTTCTGGAATTGTGTCGTACCTCAGCTAATGCGCTGCCGTCAGAAGTTGGTGTTGCACTTCCAGGAATTTGTGTTGTGTTTTGTGAGCGTTGGACTGGTTGCTTCCGTCAGGGCAGCCGCAACTATCCATTTATTTGACAATTGATTGTTCTCGATCAAATTATTCACAGTTAATTTATAATGTACAGATTACTAAAACTATTTCTAAGTGTCTGCTTTAGAAACGAATGTCGGCCGCCAGTGCTCTATGCCTTAATGAATACCTGGACCAACCACACGCGCCTCCTTCGTTTGATTCATTG